AATCGAGAGGCTGCCGTTATGTAATCGAAACTCATCGAATGTAAATACAGTCTATTCGTTCATCGCGTTAATTTAGGCAATCATCTTTTGTGTATTATCTTAACTTAACTTTCGATTGACAAACGGAAGCGTTAGCCCCTACGAATCAATTCTTTCTGGGGTAATCGTACAATCCCACGCCAAAACGGCATATACATTCTGAATCATCGGTATATCAGTGCATGATCTTGTAGTTGTGCATGTTCTCTCTAGTTGTCAAAGCTTTCAGGATTTGGTTCTTCCTAGTTATGTGATCTTGGATCATGCTCAGAGGGATTTGCCTAAGAATATCCAGTCTCGCAAGTCTCGCTCCCGCCTGGATCCGTTGTCCGTGATACATGCGCGGGTATGTTGAAGACTCTGCTTTGCAGACCACCATGAAGTCGAGGCCTGCTGGGTTCAGTGCTATTTTAAATGCGTTTGTTGTTGTCTACGCCCCCCGCAGAGGCGATCAGGCAATTCTCCTGAAAGGCCTTCAGTCAGTTCATTATTTCCAACTTGTCCGTGTTGTGTGACTACTTGGACGAAGGTAGGGCGCGGTGGCAGAACCATTTTGTACAGCCATAATCTATCTTTGAGACTGATGCCTCAGTCTCTTCCCATGGGTTTTTTGCATGCCGACACAGAAGGAAAGCTTAGCCCATCATTCGACTCATGCTTAGGGTCTAGGTGAAATCCCAAATACTTCAGGTAGTGTAGACGATTTCTGCTTCTTTGAAACTCAGCGGCTGGGGATTCACAATCGAGATAAGCCGGAGCTCATCGGCCAAGTACATATTTCGAAACCCCCAAACATTTCCGAACCTTCAAACAACAGGCCGAGCGCTCCCGAGTATCTATACACGACCCAACTACCCTTTCCACTACCTCCAAGACTAATTGCCGTAATTAAATCAATACGCGGAAATTTAAAGAAAAAACAAACTTAGTTAGATCACCTAAATCGCGTATGCTCTTTTCATTCATTCTCATCCTCTCCCAATGAAACGCATAATTAAAAAGCTTCGCGCATAGCAACGGATTTTTCGCATATTTTCGGCGGTGAGATTACCGCAAAAACTGAAGCTGTCAGATTTTTGTTGGAAAGTTGGCGGCATCTGTTTCCAATGGGCGCTATATTGTCGGTTCGCAATCGGCTTCACGCACGAATGAAAGATTGGCAAACGTGTCGTGGAAAGTGCGCTGAGAAGAGATAACCTTATAGCAAGATGACGAGATTGGAGGACGCAGATTACGACCTGATGGACTTTGAGGATGAATTAGTAAGTAAATACTCAATTCTAAGTTCGGTTCGCGTTTTCTAACAATTCGAGTCAGTGTTGGATAGTGTTTGCATGTGAATTTCATGCGATTGTCAAAATTTTGACGTTTTTACGGGCGAATCAACATTTTGAAGTTGGTGGATCGTTCACATTGCTAAATCAGTCAAATTAATTGTGAAATAATTTTATCCAATTTGTGTGTGCCGCGTAAATCCCTGTTTTCAATTTGATGTGGGTTTATTTTCAGCGATTTAAGGCCCGGGTGGACACATTTTAGCCTAATTTTTCAACACATTTCCTGGTGCCAGGAATCAGTATTTTGTGGTAAAATTGTAATCAAAACATAGTGAAAAGAATAATGAATTGCAGTAAAGAGCGTTTTTTTTAGAAAAATGGTTTATTTTTAGGGATAGATGAAAAAATAGAAATGCCTGATTTGACATTTCATGACGGTTGACACCTAACCATTTCTCTATTTATTTCATTTTGTTCATTTATCCTGGGAAATAAACAATTTTCATAAAAAACGTTCTTTACTGCAATTCATTATTCTTTTTCCTCTATTTTGATTACAATTTTACCACGAAATAAGCACCATGCTGATGATTTATATCTCCACACTTGAATTTTATGATCATCGAACACTTCAAATTGAATACATATTCGCTTCAGACGATAATAAATCTCTCAGAGATGAGAAAAATATGGAAATATAAAAAAATCGGTTTTCAACAGGGTCCAAGGGCCCATTTAGGATCTTTGGGGAATTTTTTTCATTAAACAACGGTTGATGTCGAATATATTCGCCTTCTCGACAGTGATAAAACCCTCAAAGGCGAGATAAAACAATATAAAAAAAATGTTCTTCATGGCAGCTCAATATGTCGATCTAGGAGGTTTAGAAGAGGAGTAAGGATAATTATAAAATCCTAGAGATAAGGAAGATGTTAAAATTAAAAACATTGTTTGCACCCAGATCCTAGGGGCTTGATCTAGGATCTTCGGGGGGAAGAAAGCGACTTGCTTTCCAAATTAATATTTTTCTCCATGAAAAAAAATTTGACAAAGATCTATTGCACATTTAATCACCTCATACATTATAATAAAACTCTCAAAGAGGGGGAAAATATAAAAACAACCAATTTTTTTCATCACGGCCCCAGTTGCTTTTCCTGATATTTATCTACATAGGCAATATATATACAATATATGTCACATATAATATTCATCTTATATAATAGTGTAAGTCGCCTTCGGCTCGTGTTATAAACTCCCACGAGCTGTAGACTACATTGCTGCACATGGATTGAACATGATTTTTCATTACAATTTGTGGATTAAGTGATTTATAGGCACTTCTAGAAACATCAACTGTGCCTATAAAGTCACTTTTCAGCACAGCGTGATGAAAATTATATTTAATACATATTAAAATAAGAATCTTGATATGATTGTCGCCAAAAAACGGTATAAAAAAACATTTATTTTTAGTTTTTTGAGAGGAACATGCCGGTTTAGACATTCCATGGCGGATAAACGATTTTTGTGGTCAAGCAATGTTTGTAAAGATAGTTTCTGATTTAGATCATACAGAATCACATGAAATATTCCATCAATCCGAGAATTCATTCGAAGCCTGGTTTTATGCATACAAAGTTTGCGCAAAACGTAACTTTATGAGTATAGTGCGATGAAAAGGAATGCCCAGGGGGAATTCTCACGCCAGTAAGGTTGATATCATTATGAGAGGTAATTATGGGTATATTCAATGGTATCCACTGTTCTAGTGCAAAAAAGTAACCAAATGTTGAGATATTTTGCGACGAAAATAATAGTCATTGTCGAAACCTACACTAAACTGTACCTAATGTGACACTCTATGCAAGTGCAAAAAGTGCGTTACTGAGGGTTTGTCAAACATAATTTTGAGACTTTTTAAAAATAAACTGTTTTCGTCATTCGGCCGAAAACCAATTGTATTACTCGTGTGGTTGTATCTCTTGGCTTTGCTTCGATTTGTAACCCCTATATAGTCGAAAAGCATTTTCAGTCCCACAAAAATAAGCCTTCCTGGGTTGTGTAATAAAGACCAGAGTACAGATATAATAAACAGGTATGGTAATTACTTAGGCATGCTCTTTCAGTTAACCCACTGTAATACGTCAACTACGAGAATAATTTGTCGAGTTGCATGTTGAAAACATATATATTATGTACGTTTAACAGTGTCGGCTGGCTGTAGGTGGAAGACAAGCAACAAATGTCCTCCATTGAAGGCGTATTAGGAAAGAAGTATTCAGGCGAAGGAAGTATTCATGCAACTCTCAACCAAGTGCTTTACGATTAGTATCAAATTATATTTTTCGTATAAAAATGATCCAATTTAAAAGTTCATTTTTTCATGTTCTACTCTCTACTGACCATGCGATTGAAACTAAAGATCAACTGAGTTGTTTCTCAATGTAAATTCCCTCATTATATCAATGAATATATCGAATTACCGGAATAATTCATAAATTGTATGTTCCAAACAGTTTTTATGGAGGAACATATCGTTCCACAAAATAAAATAAGTTCATCAAACGTCTACTTGATGGAGAACGTGTTATCGTAACTTATACAATCACAATACGTTGACTACGGTCACCACAGCAATAGACAAAATGATTGATTAACTTTAAAGCAATGCCCAGAAAAGAGGTTCATAAGGTATTCTAAAATCGTTGTAATTGCACGCAGAACTAAAATTAGCATGACAAACTTTCTCTGAAAAATTGTTATTTTTGCACTGTTTTATTTTAATGTTGTGTCGCCAATGCAAGTGTTTTTTTTTTGTTTCTTATAATTAAATCCATGAAAAAAATCTTGCATCAATTACTCCGATTTTTTGTGGATTTTCAAAAAATATTTCTTTTATTTTGAAGCAGTACCCGAGGGAGAAGCCCATACGTTGAGGAAAAAACTACTTTTGATATAAATATTTTTTTGATACCAGAAAATATTCTCTTGTCAATTTATAAAATCGCAAAATGCCGTGATAAATTATTCCAGTTTAACACTGAGAGAGTTTTGTTTGGGAACTGTATAGGTTATGCCGATGAAATCTCCAAATATCTGAGATTTACTACAACCTCAATCTATGTATCCCTTGAGTAGTCGATATGGAGAGAATTACAGAAACTATTTTCAATCCCATTTTTTTTCCAGTTTTTAATACCAATTGATGGATTAAAATATACATTCATGTAGGATGCTATGTTCGGCAGCGTGTAAGAATTCGCATTTTCCGAAAATAAAAAAATATCAATGAAATAAAAAGTGTTAGTGTTGTATTTTTCTGTGGTAACTCAATCTCCTTTTTTTCATCATATTTTGGAAAAGAAGGAATTTTTACTCGATTTGTAATCACATTTCACACTCGTAATTCATTTTTCATCAAAAGCAACAACCGATTTACCTAAAAATAGCAGGTTTCAAAATTCGTAGTGTATACGACGGTGGAATGGAAAGTAACATGGCCACTTAACGGTAATATTTAGAATTAGGTTTCAGTACTTCAAGATTACTGCGCAATTCTGTAACTTTAAAGGTAATTTTCGTACGAATTTCCAATGGAAATTTCTCGCTGTTGAGATCGTTTTTTCCTCAGTCAGCCCAACATCTTACATATATGACTATAAAAATACAAAAAAAACTAACCTGACCAGCTCCACAATAGAGACACGCAAGAAATATTTTCAGAGGCAGTTTTGCCGAGTAGCTCCTGTGCGCCCAAAGCCTATGAGCTCCAGCTGTTATTCCCAATCCTGCTGAGAATCCATACAGCGGACCTAGAGAAGGTTGAGTGTTGAGTGTTGAGCTGTTAAGTGGTTGAGTACAATGTGAAGGTTTGTCATGAAGTTATGAAGTATACAGTATTCAAGTTCTTTACCCAAAAATAATTATGCATGCTGATAATATCTCTATTTAATGATCTAATTTGATGAAAACCGCATAATGGCCTTTACAAAAGGAAATTAATATAATTACGCAGAAGTCCTCAGCAACATACGAAGGTTGCAATACTTCACCAATTACTGAATAGAAATGTATCATACCGATTTAAGTGAAAGGGATGATTCTTCAGAGAATTCAAATAGGAAATGTGAAATACTCACTCAAACTAAAGAACGTGAAATTTGTTGGGGAACTCTGTTCACTTTCGCACAATTCGTATTTTATTGAAAATTGATTTTCAACGATAACTTGAGTCACTATTATTAGAAAAGAACTAATGATCGCTTAAAAAATTGATATTAATAGGCTTTTGATCGTGCCAGAATATGGAGAGAATCGCATGATTTATTGTCAAGCTATAACATATTGTACATGAGATTTTTTTTACATCTTCTTTATGATCAAAGGAAAACATTATGAGCAATATCAATGAAATTACTGTTTAATTTTTTTTTTAAAGCATTCTTGTTCAACTCAAAAGATGAGGATTCTTATTTTCCAAGTATCAGAAAATCCATTCGAAAGCTTGTGACTAATTTCTTAGCAATAACAGCTATATGCAGTTCCTTATAATGGCATTCCTCACATGTTTTTTCCGAAAACTATCGAACCGTTGATATTTTAAAAAATTCGAATCGACGATACTCTATTTAAACACATGTTAAATCAATTGAATTCCAAAAATTTATATTGCAAGTTCAAAAAGGTCAACCCCAAACGGAACAGGCTCATTTTGTAGCTAATTTTTTCAACTATTCACCATAAAATCTTTAACGAAAACTGTGCAACAAAAATTTTACGATACAGCAACCATAACTGCCACATTATAAACAATCAAGTGTATTTGTTCAACGAACCGCTTGACGAACTGCAAAGTTTCCCATCACAGGAAAATAACCAATTACCTCACGAAAGTTAACATTTTTCTATTTATTAACTAGGTGATTAAATCACCACCCGAACAGCAAAATGGCGATTGCAGTGATTCTCAGTGTTGTATATTGCGTGACTGATCTCTTGCACTGCGTGATAGTTTCTACTGAACATCTTGATTTATAGTTATTTTGATTTCGACTATTAATTGTCAAATCTGCGAAGTCTTTTATTACTCGACTCATTTAGTTCTCTCTTCAGTTACTCATAATTATGGTTATTCTAATTCTGACTCTTCAAGCCGATTTTATCATTGATTAGGATTCTGGCAGTTTATAAAAACTTTTTCTTCCTGATAATTGATTCCGTGTTATTTCTTGAATCTAACGGCCATACCATTTGAACTTCTGAATATGAATCCTCTTCACAATAGCTACAAAAAAAAACGGTAAGTCAGCTTATTATATTATATTATATTATTTTGTCTCAAATAGAGGAAATTTCCATGTATTTTTTACATAAAATTTTCAAATCGCTCGGGTTATGAACAAATTGACCTCAGAAGTGTGCTGCTTATGTTGCACTATCAGTCTGTATTCAAAAAAATTTTTAATTCTTTTAACTGCGATTCTCTCGGGTCTCTCTAAATTCCTTTACTGAGGTGCGGAGTGCACAAAGTCCATCTGGGACTAGCATGAACCAGATGGAAAACCTAACAATCTCTGGACTCCCGAAGAACAGGATCAAATACACCGGAGGTCTCAGATCCTCTCTCTATCACAGGGAGAAAAGGCACCAATCTTCGAGGGTATCTGCGACAGGGACGGTGTAACTATTGTAGGTTGCACCGCGGAGACTTCGGGGATGTGGCTGAACAGTCTATTCCCTATTAAGAGCTACCTAAGCGCCATGGGGTGGTAGTGTACCTAGATGACGAGGAAGTGGCGGCCCAAGTAGCTATTAAGCTGATAGGACGGCAGAACGAGGGGTTGATCCCCGAGAATTGAGTCGTCATGTCGGGCAGTGAGAGGAAATGAGCCGCGAGAGCCCACTGCGCTGCACTGATCGGCGACAAGACATTGAAGAGTTAAAAAATCTGCAACTTCAGGCCTGACTGCGGGACTCAAGGAGCAGTTGTAAAGTTGCTCGAGAAGAATCGCAAGGGAGAAGAAAAAACTGTTGATGAAGTCAAGTGAGCCTTTTAATGACTCACAAGATAAACGAGAGAGTCCAGATTAACGTGCATCATAGCAAAAGCGTCGCAGATATTCTCAGCAGGACACTAGATATGATCTAGCTCTCATCCAAGAACCCTGGTAAGTAGATAGGAAGGTTAAGTTATCTCATGCAAACCCTGGGGAAAAGACCATAAGGGCATGTCTCATTATCAAAGGGATGGTCGCCATTTACGTACCACAGCCCAGCAATGGGGAAGGAAATCTGGCGACAGCCAGAAAAAAAAACCAAATACGACGAAACAGAATCTCGGAGTGCATGGTAAGGCCAGCCTATAGCCATACGACTCCGTAGAGCATCCCCCGACACGAGAAGTCGAGGATCTGATAATCACTGTGAAGGGAGACGGAGTAGAATTCCTGCTAGGTTCCGACGTGAACTACCATCACGCAGGATGACGGAGCTCCAACACCAATGCAACGGGTGAAGCCCTAACACAACTTCATAATGAGATAAACCCTCCTCCGTCTAAATAGGGGGACGGGACCGACCTTCATAGACCGTAGAAGACAAGTGCTGGCTTGGTGGACAGAGTAGGGGACTGGATGGTCTGGACGGAGCCCAGATCGGGGGGCTGATCTTAGTCAGATACGCCTAGGCTTGGCTGGACGGGTGGACTTTTAGTTCAACGGAGAGATCCAATGATCACAAACTGGAACGATTACAGAGAGGAGCTCTCATAGAGAATCCAGGCAGATTTAAGAATAAAGGACAATTAGAGCATGCAGCCAAAAGCTTCGGAGGGGCGGTTAGATGTTCCTTCCAAAACAATTGTATCTTAGAAACTCATAAAGGAACCAATAAGTTTACCTCGTGGAACAACAAAGCATGAATCAAGGTAAAAAAGTATCGCGATATCATACACAAGAGGAAAGCACTGGAGGAACGCAGGAATCACTAGAGAAAGTACAACAAAGCTCTACCGAAGGCCAGAAACGATTGTTCGAAAAATTTCAGCAGCGGCATCGGGAGTCTGTCCGAAGCCTCAAGACTGGTGAAAGTCTTGGGAATGCGGGGAAGGGCCAATCTAGGCGATTCGATCAAACCGGATACCACCTACACCTGGACCCCAAAGAGACACTGAAACTACTGATGAATGAAGACTTTTCTGAGTTCACAAGACAGGACGATGCGCAACAGACCCCTAATACAACAGGAGGGCAATACAAACCTCGAGACTCGGCTGTTGCAGCTAGAATCGGGTATCCTCGAGGGATAGAATGGGCAATAAACCGCTTCAAACCCCTAAAAACGCCAGGACCACATGGCATTTACGCAGTGCTTCTGCAGATGGGAATCGACACCATCTTGGGACCACTCACCAACATTACCGGAGCCAGTGGCCTTGAGAACTGTACCGCAGGTCTGGGGAGAATCAAAAATTGTGTTCCTACCCAAGCCTGGAAAAAATGGCTACGTTACGCCAAAAGACTTCTGACCCATCGGTCTAACCTCTTTCTTCCTCAAAACGCTGGAAAGGCCGATGGACACATACATCAAAAGCTCATTGCAAATAGACCAACCACTGTCCTCATCACAATATGAGAGAGACAGACCACCATCATCTGCACCATCTTGAGAAAAAATTCGACGAGGAAATACAGGAGAAGGGCTACGCAATGGGAATCTTTTTCGACATCGAAGGATCGTTTGACGGCCCTAAGTAAGATGCCATAACGAAAGCCATGTCAAGAAAGGGTTACGCACAGACTATCACTGACTGGACGCGAGGCATGTTGATGAGCAAGTCATTGACTGCATCTGACAACGGAGCGAAAGTAGAAGGTTACTCTATAGGAGTATTGCGTACGCCGCAGTTACTACCGTTAAAATTTTTGTATATGTGGAAAACTTGGTGTAACAACAAAAAAGGGGGCTTGAGAAAACTCCACACAATGAATGTCGGTATATCCAGCCTAAATACCGATTATGCGAGGTAACTACAATGAAAGGGACCACCTAGCAGGTATTAAAGTGGTCGTGATTATAGCATGCAAGGCGTTAAAGAGTGGCCATCAAGGCGACAACACCTGGGAACGACGCATCATCTAAAAAGGAACCACACAATTGCTCAAAGGGACAGCTAAAGAAATCCTTTTCACTTCTTTTCTTCCCTGTATTAAATCTAGAGGCCAATAACTTAAACAACCCTCCAATGGTAACCGCAGATAGAAGCTGCCCCAAAGAATTAAAAATGTCGGCAATTTAGAGATAGACCACCTCAACCACGGGTTTGCCGATATCGACAAAAGAAAAGGTAGGCCAATAGGGGGTACATCCCTCCGAATGCTTTCCCCCATTGGTTACAGGGAACCAGGGGTCGGGAACATGATGTCATCTACACCACATATCCAACGAAAGTTATGAGATGGCTTCCAGGAATTGGCACAATTCACCAGATAATTTCTTGTTGTCCAAACAAGGGAACATCTCCAGCCTCAAAGGGTCCACTCCATTTGACACGCGAGCCTTCTAATGAACAATAGTTATCCATCGTCAAAGGAGGTGTCAACTTTATGGGTCATAGACGTCAGAAAAATGCGTAAACATGCCACTTTTGACATTAGCAGAACATTAATTAGAGAGAGGCCAATGTGCGCTTGTTCCGTCTTTTTCTCAAAAAGTTCTCCCGCGCCTAGAGAAAAGGGGATAACATCCGCATGAGAGTACATTGCCCAGAAACATCCCTTTTGAATACATTGTTAAAGATATGAAGATGCCTCCT